AAAACGCTGTTTAGTAACGCAAATATGCCCGCTCTCCGTTGATCTGGCTAAACTGCTCGCTTTATTGGTGACTCAGGATGACAAATAGCGTCTCGCGAACGCGGCTGAGACGTGAGTGGTGGCAGGGACGGGTGATTATTCTCACAGAAATGTGTGGGGGCAGCTCGGGTTCGATCGGCGCCAAACAAACAGGCGCGCTCGTTCTCTGATGTCCAGTATCGACTGCTTGGTTAGAATGAGTGACTCAGCACAGTGATTTCACACCGCTTTAAAAAAGACTGCGCTCAAAATGAATCTGATTAAAGGCACGAAATTATACATCATACACTTTTTTTTTTTTTTTTTTTTTTAAAAACTACCGAACCATCAGTTCATTCCTTTGAATCGATTAGGGTTTTTTTTTTTTTTTTTGCCATTTTGCAAACGGCTCACGATTCCCCCACCACAAAGACTTTATTCATTCAATCACTGTCTTTTTTCTCTTCACGCCTTTCCCCGCGGTTCATTCTGAGATAAATAATGAACCCTGCTAAAGACAAGAGATCCATCATGATCAAGAGACAGCCGTTGGCTAAATGAAAGAGCAAAAACGAGGGAATATTAATTCAGTTGATTATAATTATGGGAGGAAATGATTCCATGATGGGACGCAGTTAATCTATAAAAAAAAAACTACACGCGTTGCAGGGCTGTGGTTTGAGGAACCCGGTTCGGCCACACAGGAGAAAGACAGAACGGCTTCTCTAATATCCCTCTGACTAATTAAAGACTGAGGGATTGTGGGATTATCATTGTTTTAAATAGAGCTCATAGCTTATTTACTGCTGCTGAGAGGCGAAGCCTCCCTCGGTGGTGCTGCCGCCCGTATTAAAAACCCTCGATACGGCATGAAAAACAAAAGAGTGGACAAAATCCAATCAAGAAATTTTACATATACTTCAATAACAAACCAGATATTTAAAGGATCACTACATTTTTGCATTCATAACACAATCATAAGCATTGCATGACTCATTTACAAAGCAAAGCTGTTCCAGTTATGAACTGCTTTGTTATGTAACACTATATTTGAAGGATTCCTACATTTGGCCTTCATAACACATTCATAAACATTCCCTGAATCTTTTTTTTTTTTTTTTTTTGAACAGCTTTATTGAGTAACACTATTGGGAGAATACCTACGTTTGGCCTTCATAACACATTCATAAACATTCCCTGAATCTTTTTTTTTTTATGAACAGCTTTATTAAGTAACACTATTTGGAGAATACCTACATTTGGCCTTCATAACACATTCATAAACATTCCCTGAATCTTTTTTTTTTATGAACAGCTTTATTAAGTAACACTATTTGGAGAATACCTACATATGGCCTTCATAACACATTCATAAGCGTTGCATGAATATTTCATAAAGTACAGCTGTGTCATTTATGTAAATCTTTATTAATTAACACTATTCCGAAGACTCCTACATTTGGCCTTCATAACACATTCATACATTTTGCATAAATCTTTTATAAAGTACAGCTGTATCATTTTGGAAGTTTTATTTAGTAGCACATTGTCTGAAGCATCCCTGCTTTAGGCCTTCATAACACATTCATAAGCATTGCATAAACCTTTCAGAAAATACAGCTGTGTCGGCCCTTCATAACACATTCATAAGCATTGCATGAATTTTGTCTTTTATGAACAGCTTTACTAAGTAACACTATTCGAATGATACCTTAATTGGGCCTTCATAATACATTCATAAGTGTCATTTATGGCAAGCTTTAGCACTATATTGTGTAACACTATTTCAAGGTAACTACACTGGGGCTTCATTACACGTTCATAAGCACTGCACGAATGTTTTATGCAGTACAGCTGTGGCATTTATGAAAATCTTCATTAAGTTACACTGTTTCGAGGATACCTACATTGGGCCTTCATAACACATTCATAAGCACAATTAAGAAAGCTGACAGCAACGACGCCAAAACAGGAAGTGAGTCTGAATCTCAGGAATGTTTTGTCGTACCGATACCAAATTTGGTAGGTGGGTTTAAGACCACTCTCCCAGTGGTGTCATTCCAACAAGAGCTAGCTGACACTGGAGACTCCTTCCCTGAAGGTTAAATAAGTTGCAGAAAACTTCTATATTTTTTTTAATGTTTATATGGAGTATCTGCCGTACAAGTCCCTGTGAACGAGCTGTTGCTATAGAAACCATAATGTATCAGAACGAGTGCATTAATAATAAACCTGTTTTAGATGTTAGATATAATATTAAATATATCACTATGACATCGCTATAATACCCAGCTCATGCTGTTGTGCTGTTTTTCGAAAATAAATTTACACCTTCTTGGCACCATCAAGAATTCAATGGCGCCCTGGTTTAAATAACTATTTTCCCCTGTGCTCTGCATACCATTCCTTAAAAAAAAAAAAAAAAATTAAAGCGGTTGCTCTTTAAAACTCATCTTCAGAGAAAAAGCATCCGGGAAAAAAACCTCTGACCTTTAGTGTCACTTACTTTAATTAGCCGGGGCTGATAGGGGCAGTTTCCTGAAGCAGCTCTTTTTAATATGTTAGGGAAAA